GCACCTTTGAGCTCATGTTTACCTTTTTATCGGTAGCTTGGAGTTCTTCAAATACCTTTTCTAAGGTCCAACTTTGAAAGAAAGAAGAGGAAATCAACAGAATATTAATAATATAAATAAGAGCTGTAAGAAAACAAACAAGAAATCCCTTCAAACAGCTCAACAGGACTAAGGCCAAGGCAACTCACTTTGTTTCCAGATATTCTCTAGGGAGTTCTTCCGCTTCCCCCAGAGTCATCACTGACGTCCGGATCTCCTGCTCGACCAGACTGTCCACCATCACCCTGAAGTGGGCCCACACCGTGTCTTCCCATGTGTCACAGACAGCAAGGAGCTTTTCCCCATTCCGACACAGAAACACATACCCACAGTCAGCAAAAAGAGACGGAACGCAGTCAGATCGACTGGTATGAACTAGAACGCCACTGACAATCACATTGAACCATTCACTTATAGTATTCCTATCCAGGAATATGCCATTAAGGCACAGTGACTGCTTGCTGTTTCATAAGCTCCCATGCCCGTATCTCATCTTGAGTTTATGTTATGCATTGAAACTCTATCTTACATCTACGTGAAAAATAGAATCCACTGGAATTTCTGAATGGACAAATAAATTCATATTTATTAAAAGATATCACCAATAAATGTGGCTTGGCAATGAAATAAACAATTTTTTGAATTTAAGTCTGATTGTATGTGAACATCCAAATTAAACAGTACAAGTCACTCTTCTGTTTCATGAATATCTGTCATCGCTACTCTTATAATTTATAAGAATCTATGCCTACTAAAATATTTTTTTTAATTTATATTAATTTGGAGTTAATACATATATCCTATTATTCCATGGTTTAATCGTGTCAAGCAGAATTGTACAATTGCGACCACAATCAGTTTCCAAACATTCTTTTCCTTCCTGGACTCCTTAACATTGTCTCCCTTTACACCCACAGCGCACCACCCACCGCTCCACCTCCACTGTACCCCCACCTTCAAAACCCTTATTCTACTTTCAACTGTCCCTATAGGCTCTTCAAACCTGGGTTTCATGCACAGAAACACAGAAAAACATAACACAACTTCATGAGGGTGACCTCCAATGACAAAATGCAATGTCTACTAAAATATTATTACGGATCTAATTTTATTCCACAGGGGGGTAAACTGATTGAAAGAGCTTGCATACCTGCTTCAGATTCCCACTTAAAGCTGCATAAATTGCTCTCTCGTATCTGTTAAAAAACTCCTGGAATAAAGGGAATAAAACATAAACTCAATATTGACTTGATGGCAGTGAGTTTTATTTTCGGTTCTTATTATGCAATTTCTTTCAACTCTGAAATTCTTAAGAAAATGTCAAACATGTAAATTTCAAATGCACTGGAAGCAGATCTAACCAATGGCTACTCTGATTATCTACGTCAGGTGTGTTCTCAGCCACACCCATCTTCACCCACTGTTACGTCTGTTTGATGTCACAGAAACCCCAGCCCACCACTTTAAAAGAGCTCATTGGCTGCAGCCCTTCTGATAATCACTTCCCCAAGAAAACTTCTGGTCACTTCCAAGGTAAAGTTCCAAGATTTCTTGAACTACTTACCCTTTAGTACTGCTACCATCTTTAATAAGGTTTATCTTTTTATGTATCACTAAAGAACTTTGTATCCTTAACATCCCATTGTGCCCATGAACTCCAGGGGTATTTTTGTTTAATTTTGGATTGTGTGATTTTCAATAATGCATATGCATTGTTATAACAGTATTTCCTTCTATGAGCTTTCTGCTCTAATCTGGTAAGAGTGAATTCCCTTGAGTTTCCCAATTTATCTTTTGTCATATCGGCTGCTCTGCCTAGAATGCCTTCCTTTCTTCTCTTGCCCAATAACCCAAATCCTATAAACTTTAAAACGTCCATTAAATTCTTTCTCCTGTGAAGCCAGGTCTAGCCCAAAGCTTATTCTCTGGACTCGATGGGTATCTCCTCCTATTTCTGGCTTATATCAAAGTTTAATTCTTATTCTGTAGTGTCTGAATAATTCTGATTAGCAATTAAGACTGTCCCAATTTCTCATTTTGATTGGAACTTGCTTGAAGACAGGAATTAGAGTGTCCCCTGCCACACCGAGCATTTCATAGCATATCAGCAGGTCTGCAATTAGAGTAAAAACCAGTTCCAAAAGTTGAATCTTACATCTTCTGCCATTCTCCAACAACTTATTTTCCAGATGCATCTATAGGGATTCCCTTCAACAGGTTCTAATTCCATTCCTACAAAACAGCAAACGAAATAAAGTTCATAGACAGCTTAAGTTGAGACCTCCTTCTCTCAAGATTTTCTACAAAGAGAGCCTTCACAAATAGCAGCAATTAGAACTAAGGACCTTTGCCCCCAACTCTCAGAATAAAATCTACCAAATACCTCCATTAACGTTAGGGTCATGATACAGTTTCCAGCCTTCCAGGGTAGCAGCTCTCCACGCCTGACCACACCGTTTACAGAGCCGTTGTGCCTTGTAAAATCAGAACGAGCCATGAGCCAAAAACCACTGTACAAGTCAAAAATACTTGCAGTCGTCAAAGCCCAAACACACACAACAGACTACATCGTTTATAGCAGAGATGTGATAGAGCATGCCATAATGACGTTCCACTGCCAGTATCTTCTTTCTGTGATTTCTGTTAAAAATATTTCCTTTTTCGGTATTAATCTTTTAAAAAACGTTTTCTTAATGGGAATTAGGTAGAGGTTGACTTTTTAGATCATCAATGAAGTACACAACAACGTAAACTACTTATTGAATGTCCCAATGACTTGCCCTGCCCGCCTTTACTTTCTCGTCTCCCTCTGGTGGAGTACGACCTTCCCCTCTAGCTACGCCCAGCTGCATCCATCCTCTAGCATGTTGCGTCATCTGCCCTCCTCGCTCCCATCCTTGATGCTCATCAAAATCTTTTTGTTTTGGCATGAGAACCTTTGTCTTGATTTTTCATTTGTAACAGTGATCACTGTTATACAATATTTGTTCTTTTGTGATCGACTTATTTCATTTAGCACGATGTTCTACAAGTCTACAAGTGGTGTTTCATCTTGCTTGAGACAAACGGGGCTAAAATGTTTGAAGACCTCTGACCTATGTAAAAGTACTTTGAAACCATCGTTAGTCTCTATGTAACAGCTGGTTTTGGTCATTTAGTCCACTATTGATATGTATGTTCAGATGCCAGGGGTGCAGATCTATCTTTGTCTTTTCCTCCTCATTCTTAGTTCCTATGATTTGGACAGGTTAAACTGAGGGTTAGGCAAGTGACTCAACAAGCATCGCCCTGGGATGATACAGGATCAGGGCAGAGGCACACTCCATGTGCTGAGCCTGCTAGCTGGGGGAATAGAACCTGGAGGAGGTGCTGGTCAGCTCCGAAGAGCCACAGAGAAGAGCTCAGAGCCTAAAGAGATAGTATCCTACTACTGTCATAGTTACTTTATAAGCCAAACATAAAATAGTTTACCTCCCTTCCTTATAAGTTCACAGTAATTTGAGTTGGGTTTCTCTCTCTTGAACCTAAAAAGTCTAACGAGTACAACTAGTCAAAAGGCAGAATAAAACAATGTATAAATGTCTATTATGATTACTGTTAAAAAGTGGGTACAAAAGAAAAAGCGTTGTAAGTAAACACAACAAAACACCACCTGCGGTTACATAGCACACCAGGACCTTTCCATTTTAAGTCTTCAGTAAGATATTTTTGTTTTCCCCTTTTAAAGATAAATCTTTTGCTCACCATATGATGCCCAGTACATTTAGCAAATAATACGGTAAAAGGGGCTGGGACCTAATACTTTCTGAATACACAAACAAGTGAAGTCATTAAAAAGTAAAAATGATGTTTAATAACCCAATACTTACTACTCTAAGAAATTACTTAACACATTCTATGAGTTTATAACACAAACAAAATAACAAAGACCCCTTTGGCCTAACATGCTCCTGTCTAAAGAACATACATACCCAAAGCCTACAGCAACTCTGCATCAAACGCCTCATCTCGGGAGTCAACAAAGCCCTCCAGCTAGCCAATTAGACACTAACAGGCTGTATTCAAGTTCTTAACGATCCGAAGGGGGAGTGTGAGGGCCACCCTAGCCTTCAAATGCCTGCACAGTGTCACTTTGAAGAGCAATTAGTATTAGACTTAGTCTCAACTCTTTAAAACAGCATTAGAAATAGCCCACTGGGATATGCTTAAGTGCAAGTGAGATAAAGTTTGACTTACAAAATTTTTTTTAAAATTGTGGTTGGGCTGAACTGGTGTGGGCTGCTTATCACTGGAAATGTTCAAGGAAGGAGTTACATCTAGAAATACTGTAAAAGGCATTCCTGCATTGAAAAGGTATGTTCACAAAGATCCCTTCCAAGTCAGAGCCCATGATTTTTGGAAATGGGCCAAGCAGGATACATGTGATTTACCTCTTCTGTCATCCCAGCACGGATCAGAGTGAAAATGTATTTGAGTAATCTGGCTTCATCTTCTCTATCCAGATCATCCAGGGGCATTTTCTGTCTTATGGGAGCATCAGGATCCTATTTAAATAAAATATTTATTTAAATAAAATAAAATAAAATAAAAGACCAAAGACCATATACATATACATTTTTAGCATTTTCCATCTATGCTGTAGTTATATACTGAAACATATTTAATTACAATTTAACACAGGGAATGAAAGTGTCACAGGTGTTCCAACAAGGGACACAATTATCTCCTGTACAGTTTTGAAGACAAAGGTAAATGCAAGATGGAAACAACATTTGCCCAGAAATGCTACTTATCACTCAAGACGAGTTGAGGTTTACTCTGTATGATATGTAGCCAAGTTAATTCTAAACAAACTCAGACAAAAATGGAAGAGTTACTGTTATTGTTGGTTTGCCTACTTATATAAGATAGGCATGGGAAGCAAGCTAGAGGAGAAAGCAACGGGACTGATAGCTGCGGAGAGACTTGGAGGGAGGAGGTGGGGGGAAGGGAGCAGGGAGCAAACTACGCCACAGACAAGGGAACAACTAGGGAATGAACAACGTGCCAGAGACAAGGGAACAAGGAGGAGCACACAGAGATCCTGGAAGTGTTGGAGCAAAAGCAATC